AACCTTGTTTGTTGTCAAAATCTTATGAGAAGGCACTAGTGTTTGTGAGGAAAATGTTATGCTTTATGAGGTGTCTTATAATGGCTTAGAGTTCTTTGTTTTGACCAATCAAAACGATGATGACGAGGGGAGCTATACAAACTTTTGTAGGAAAGTAAAGGATATTCTCTCGAAGAACAAACCTAGCTCAAATGTACTTGGTGAAATAGTTAATCTATACGAGGAATTGAGGTGAATGTGAGTTATCCTTGAAATATGTACTCTAAACGATGAACATGAGATCCATGAGCTGGAACAAGGGGACAATCTGGTGGAACATGATATGAGAGAGAGAGGGTGGGGGGAGGGAGGGAGGGAGGGAGAACCTTGTTTACCGTCAAAATCTTATTAAAAGGCACTAGTGGTAGTGAGGAGAAGGTTATGCTTTATGAGTTGTCTTATGATGGCTTAGAGTTCTTTGTATTGACCAATCAAAATGATGATGGCGAGGAGAGCTATACAAACTTTTGCAGGAAAGTGAAGGACATTCTCTTGAAGAACAAACCTAGCTCAAATGTACTTGGTGAAATAGTTAATCTATACGAGGAATGGAGGTGAATGCGAACAAGGGGATAATTTGGTGGAACGGGGGGGAGGGGGAGGGGGAGAGAGAGAGAGAGACTTGTTTACCGTCAAAATCTTATCCGCACACTTTGGGAAGGGAGGGAGGATACCTTGTTTACTATTGTAGTCTTGAGAGACTTGTTTACCGTCAAAATCTTATTCGCACACTTTGAGAAGGGAGGGAGGATACATTGTTTACCATTGTAGTCTTGTTCAGACACCATAAGGAAGCCTTGTTCGCACATCGTAGGGAGATATAGAGAATATCTTGGTTACCATTGAAGCCTTGTTTGCACGTCGTTTGTCGTTGAAGAACCAAATCACCATTGAAGTCTTGTTCGGACATGGTAGGAAGAGAGAAAACCTTTACTTTCCATTGTAGCCTTTTCGTACATCGTAGGGAGGTAGGGAGAATATCTTATTTACCATTGAAGCCTTGTTTGCACACCGTTTGTAGGTGAAAAACCGAATCATGCTTCATTTATTGTGGGAGAGTTGAAGAATTGAACCATGATTTGTTTTTCCACATTGTTGGCCTAATCACTATCATAACTGGGGTATTCTCGTTGTTTGCGTTGTTGCTTCTAATGTTGAAGAGGAAGTGAAGACAAACAGAGCAGAAGAGGTTCACGATTAGAATCTAAACCCTTATCTTAAGTGGTAAGAGCTATTTATGTTAATGAGTTATTGTGGTACTCGGGTTTGAGTTGAAGGGATCTAATCCCAAACCCAAACTTTTAAGTAAAAGGAAACAAAATATAGATATTCCTTGATATGCTGTCACTTTTTTCTTTCTAAAATACTATTCCTTTTGAACCGAAGATATTCTTGCAGCAACCCTCTCAAACCAACGTGTCGGCTGATATCTCTAACATGTCGACTGATATCTTTGACACGTCGGCTGCAATTTAGAACCTTGACAATGGTAGCAATATAGACTATCATTATCATTATTTTCTAATATGTAGATAAAGGAAGGAGAGAGATAAAATGGATTACAAAAGGCCCTAAGATTTAGTGTACTCTCTATATAGCTAATCTTTAAACAAGAGAAGAAAGACGTTCTTGTTAAATGGTCGGATGATGATGTGGAGAAATATGGCCAAACATTTAGACTAGTCTTTTGCTTTATTTTCTGGACTATTTCATTTCAAAACAAGAGAAGAAAGATGTTCTTGTTAACTGGTCGGATGATGATGTGGAGAAAGATGGCCAAACATTTAGAGTAGTCTTCTGCTTTATTTTCTGGACTATTTCATTTCAATTGCATCAAAAGATTATGAATTTCATCATTGTTGTTTGTGTTAAAATTTTTAAACTCTATTAACTTATCATATGAAGTTTATGTATCTTGATATTTTTTATCAAAATTTATGAACATGTTGCAATTGTCATAATATTATGAAAATTAATGGGATATGGAGATTGGAATTTTAGAATTATATGGTACTAAGTCGATTATTGGTGTCTCAGTTGTGCATTCATGTACAAATTCTATTCTTAAACTTATTTATTATTCAATTATTTTAAAAAAACCGAGTTCTTGTAAAAAAATAGAACATTGCATTTCATTTTTGAAAAAGTTATGAATGTGTTGCGCGCCTCATTTTATGCACATGACAAGCATCAAGGACTTTGCATCTTAGCCCCCCTACTGACCACCCCCAAAAAACCCCAAAAAAACTAAAAAAAGAACACTCAGAAACACACACCGAATCCATTTGATGGAAGGACCGGCTTGCGCTTATGTTTGCTCAGATTGGTCTTTCCCTCTTGTTTGGGTTCAATTCACAACCCTAAACCTAATAAAAATTCCTTTTAAGGATAAAGTTTTGCTACTATCTCCTTGCACTTCGTGTTGCTCATTTATGAGGAATGTAACAGAAATTTCTCTTAGCATGTTGTTACTTTTTTTTTGCCTTCTCCTCTTCACTGTCTAAACCTTCTTTTTAGATCCTACGGGGAAAGTTTTGCTAAATTTATCCCATTAGCTATTTCATGTGACTACGGGCCGAACCAAAACAAAATCTCTCTCTTCACGCTAATGATTCATATTTGCTAATCTCGGACATTATCAATTGGTATCAGCTGATACAAGACCCAAATATTGCTTATTTTTAGCCTAAATTGCTTGGACATGTTTCATCGTACATGCATGAAAATCTAAGACAACTGTCCTGATTGATTTCTCCATCTTTGTCATGATATTAAGAACGAATGGGGCATTAAAGCATGACCCTAACTCCCAACAAACTCATAGATACTTGGATACTCCTTTATTACTGTCTAGAAAAGGCGTAAAAGTTGAATATCTTACACATTATCTCATATATATTCAAAATTTTCTCTGCTTTCAGAGGCTTCACGTTGGCAATTGAAAGAGTGAATTTACATCCAAGTCCCTTCTTAATTTGGATATACAACCAGGTTTTGTAGATGGGAGAAGCCATGTCCAATCGAACATGTTTCGATTTATAGGGTCCAAAATTCTATATCATCTGAACGCGAGGTGAATGCATATGGTTGAGGTCCATTTTTTTATTGTCTAATACAGTCTTTTAGATTATTTTGTATGCTAGAATTTGTAGAAATCACGTTCATTTTCAAGGAAAATTGACCTCAGTATCTTCTCGACTAATAAATTGTAGAAGTAACCTTATAGGACTCCAAGCTGGAAACACTTAGCCTCTTATTGATTTAGACTAGCCTCTTATTGATTTAGACTACTCAGAATTGTTATCTTTTGGAGACAAGCAATATTCGGCAACGCCCTGTCATGTGAAATGCAACAAGGGCCTTCAACGATGTGTGGATATTTTTTTAGGATATTAGGTTCCGTAGTTTTCATTTATGTTGAAAACTTTAAAGTAATTTAAAATTTTTGATTAATTTTCTTGATGCTTACTCTTCCTCTTTGTATAACCAGGCAGCAAGATGTTAGAGCAACTGAAATTGATAAAGTGGACATGTACCAGTCTTTTCGCCCTGGTGACATTGTTAGAGCTTTAGTTGTATCCTAAAACTTAGATGCAGCAATTGCATTTTTCTTCTTGCGCAACATTTAGCATTGGATATTCTCGCTTATTTTGAACATGTTTAATCTTCATTCTTCTTTTGTACACTTAGTCTTTTGTTCATCTGATTTTCTTTTTTGTATAGGCTCCAAGTTTGCCATAATATTTTTTTAATTACGAAAATATTTCTCTTTCTCATTTATTTTGTCGAGTTTTGCCTAAGTTTGACATTATCAGTACAATCTTATGGTGTAGAGCCATGATGGTTGTGTTTAGCCTTACATTTCTCCAGTGCTCAGTTTGCCGATATTAGATATTTACCAGGATTCTGAAAGAAACAGGGTACAATCTTCACTAATGCCTCTAATGCAACTGTTCAGGAGATCAACTTACCGTAAACCATAAGTTCTTTTGAGTTGGCTTTGTGAAAACCTACATATATGGGCTTTAGCAATCACAATTTCGTAAATCCCCAGTGTGCAAATGTTTGATTCAGTTTGGTTCAATTTTGTGTGTTCAGATGGTTCTAAACATTAGTTATGTAGTTTTTAAGGACATCACAATAAGAAAAATTAACTACTGAATAGAATAGGGAGGAAAAATAAAATAAAATAAAAAACATTATGTGGGACATAGCGTAAGGTCCCTAATATATGTTTTTTTTTGTGGATCAATTCGTCACAATATAGATTTCACTAGTAAAAGGTATGATAATATTCCATTAACTCTATTACTTTAGCACCTAATTTTAGTTGTAATAAACTACCCTCCCTTTCTCCAGTCAAACCTTAAAGCTCACCTTTTTCTTTCCCTGTTGTTTCCCCTCATATTTTCTCTATCTACCTGAACTAAATCTAAGCCGTTAGCTCCTTTACCCCCTGCTTTAGTCCAAATGTAAATGCTCTTTGTGTGTGTGCGTGCACGCATGCAGGGCCCCCCTTTGTGTACATGCTTGCGAGGCCACCCTAATAGTCACATCGGAAAGGTATGCACCTCACCACTTAGATCTCTTAGTAGCGCATTTTGTTAGACGAGATGTAACTCATGCCCGATGCCATTATATATGTATGCATGTTTATTACCCAAAATGTATTCCATTCTTCATTTTATACAAGCACTACATGCAATACTCTTCTATGTCCTGTCATCTCCTTCACCTTCAAAACAAGTCATACCCTAAATGCTAGGCATTCTCCTCTTTATACATGCACTATATTACAATTCTCTTTATCTGTCTATCCCTTCATCTCCTTCACCCTCAAAACAATGCATCTAATTTACTCTAGTTCACACATTTTTTACAACCATTTGAATGCACTCTAGAAAAATTCAATGCAAATTTAGATAGCTTAACAATTGAAATGCCTTTGATATCTACCAACTCATGATATGGCTTAGTAAATATTGCACCTAAAACAGGGGAATATAGTCTAAAAAGACCCTAAGTTTTATTCCTATCTTCTTAGAAGTCTCCAGCTTTTCTTTTTAACTTAGTGATTTTCTTGTCCATAAAAGAAAGTTGAGAGCTTCTTGGAAAAGAAGAATAAACTTCAAGGGTTATTTGTAAAGGGGAAAAAAATAAAATTAAAGGCTTCTTAGAATAGGGGAGGAGAGGGGAAACTATTAAAAAAACCATAATTCCAAATTACGATAAAATTATGACAAAACTACGATAAAATGTACTATGTTTGTTGCAATTTTTCATTAAAAAAATACCTAAAGAGGGGAAACTATTAAAAAACCATAGTTCCAAATTAAAAATGCAATCTTTCACCTAAATCCTCAAAATTAATCCATAAAATCGCAACTTCCCCCCAGAAGTTAAAATTTACCTGCAATCATAGTATACGCAACAAAAAACACGTTTCCAATTACAACAATCTTTCTCTTAAGTATACATGAAATAAAAGATCAATGCATCTGTTTCGCTTAGACAAACATTAGAGCTCGGAATAGATGGTGACCATGTTCTTTGGAGGTGATGGGACTCTGGGACAGGGTTGAAGAGAGGCGACAGACTTGTGATGACGAGACGAGAAGATAAAATCAGCAAGAGAGCGAATTAGGTTTTTTGAGGAGGGATTTGTGTTTGTGCAAGATCTCAAGAGAAGCCCAATCGCGTTAATGGGGAGGAGAGGAGTTAGCGATTGAGAAAAATAAGAGGAAGTTGGGTGTTGGGTTTGAATCACTAGGTAGGCAGATAAGCAGGCCTCTGCCTACCCATCTGGTGGTTAGTGCCCATTTATTATTTACTGAGATGGAACTAGTCCAACTAGGCTCATTTAACTAAATGGTTAGGTTTGGGTAGGCCAGATAGTGGGCGGGTCAGTTAGGCAAATGAGTGTGGATGAAAATTATCATCCCTATAATTATTGGAAATTAATCAAAATCAGAAGAATACTTGAAATATTTTTCGATCCTCTACGATGTCATCTCTCAAAATATATCGAAAAAGCCTTTTCAAGAGAAAAAACCTCCAACTGAAATCCATTTGTCACCGAAGAGGAGCAATGCAAAGATATATGATCTTTTTGCTTTACTTATCATCTCTATAAGGCTTCATATGAACTATATATATATATAAGACTAAACTAGCCCAATGGACAACAATTCCTAAACAATTTAGGATTGTTCAAAACCCAATTCATAACAATTAAGGATAAAATAGAATTGTATTACATATATGTCTCGCCTAGTGTCATTAATGGGACCAATTTGGTGCTATATCGAGAACCAATTATTAATCAAATTAATAGTATTAATTAACAGTCAAAACTCTATCCGACCAACTGTTCATAGCAACTCTTCTATAATATGAGATTAATTATTCATAAATAATATTATCTTACAATTCAGTCCCCTTCAATATCAATTTATTTTAGACAACTTTATCTAGTAGGACAATTTACCTAGTTTTTCATGCCTAAATTTTGCAATCCCATAAACATTAAAAATCATTTTGAAATGTTAAAATATTTTATTTTATTAGAAAATAAATTTGAAAAACATTTTTCAAACGCACCCGTCGACGGGAACTTGGTAACTTCATGGGGTATGCATAATAATTAACTCATAAAAAATGAGCATATTGGATCCTATTTAGATACACCTCACTTCCCTAAATGAAATATAGTAACCTAATGTTTCTGGTTGTGTGGCACTTGTAAAATAAGTTTAGCCATCATATCAAAGCATCTAAATTATCAAATTGGAAGTGACAATATCATTAAGGGGCCATGTCACAATTTGAATTCTCTATCTTAGGTGACTAGTCCTAGAGAATTCAAATGTGGTCTAGTACTACACATATCACAATGCATGCTTATGATATACACCCGAGGAATCTCCATTCCTGGTGGTTAAGACCCACCACCACATCTTACATGTCGCTATCATGCATAATAATCTTATAAAATAAAGTTATCCTTTATTAGTTATAAGTTAAGCACAAGTTTAAGAAATTTTTAAGTTAGATCACATCTACATGAAAGTGACCATCACAATACATGATCTAATGAAACAATTTCTAAGGATAATATAAAAATTATGTAATTAATACCCAAATAATATGTGCGACAATAAAATATTTATTAATATTCAGTAACATTACATAATATGCATTGGCTATGTAAGCGCATATTATATACTACACTTGCATCCTCCCCGGCGGCACCCCAAGAAAAAAAACACTGCATGCATTGATCTTTTCATTTTATTCTCTTGTGTTCTTCATGCACAATTATTGAATTATTGCTTTCTTGTGAAATAAATAATATACTCAAGATGAGTATTGTGAAACTTAATTCTTGAATCAAGCTCTCTCTTGGAGATGCAAGGGCATATTACCTTTCCACGGCAAAGAATGAACTCGGAGTTGTATCCGCACAAAGCATAACAGGTAATATCTTGATGTTTTCGTTTCTGTTATTTCATTGTAGGATATCGATTTTTTGGACATGTTAACAGATCTTTAGAAACTAATTAATTATTTCTTGCAATTAATGTCACAATTTCAATGACTTGACTGCTTAGCTACAAGTAATGTGCCAAAATGCAGAAAGCGGAGAATAGTTAAAAGTAATGTTTGCAGCTGTTCTACTGTAGGAAAGAGAAACTGTGAGATTTGGTACCAGTATATGATGTATAAGGAAGAAAGTATTTAGATAAGTGTGAAAGAGGCATGTGAATCGCTTCTTTGTTGTCGGTCTGGAAATGCTATTTTCACAACTAAAGTACACAACTAATTTAAATGGATTCAATGTCTGTAACTCTTGTGCAAACCAAACCAAAACAAAAAATATGAATTATAGATAGACATACTCAACTACATCCTTAAATTTAAAAGAAAACTATCAAGGTAGATGTATGTGAATTTTTTATGCACAATAACTATTATGTTCATATAGTAGGGATAGCATATAATATCTTAAAAATGGTATTATGATATCTATCATTTTTTATACCTATAAGTTTGGTATCTTAAGAAGTTTCATTGATAACTGGTTTTATTTGTACTCAGGTGGTACCATGATACCAATCAGTTGGACAGAAATGCAATGCCCGTTGACTGGCCAGATTGAACAGAGAAAAGTTGCAAAAGTTATTTAGCTATCATATTCCCTTGAAATGAAGGGACGATAAGCTCAGATGAGTGGATTTCCAGTTGAGTAGTAAGTAACTTCTCTCATAGTTCTTGTGTTAGAGCTAGTAGATAACGTTTAGTGAAGGAGCATTCATAGCATATATATAAAGTAGAAGTGGGGGAATCGAAAACTGGTCATGTTTTAGTTTTTTATGGTTCGTGTTCCCATATGCCTTTATTTGCTACTCAAAAATTTCTCATTACCTATTGATGGGAGGCCCCTTTCGATATTCCAGGGTTTTAGAAACGATGGCAGTAGTGGTCTCTCAACGGTGCAGGATAACAATGGTTTCATTGATTGCTGTCGCGATAGCAAGTAGTGACATTGACAATCAGCAATATTATGTTCATTACCTTCATTGTATTGTACTTAGATGAGCAGAGCTGTCTTATATTCGACTTATTTGTGTCCTGTTCTCCTGAGCCCGAACTGC